AGAGATGGCTTTCTTGTTGCAGAAATAGAAAATCAGAAATAAATCAAAACATTGCGTAGTGGACAAAACTTGGGAAGTTTGGGAAAAAATTGAAAATATAGAATTGTTGCAAGTGTTCACATCATAATAGTCATCTTTGAGAGATCCAGAGATCAATATATTGTTGACCAATATCTGCATTACCTGAATCTAAAGTTAGTTTTTGATCTTAAATTATTTTTAAAAGCGAAAATAAAAAGCAATCTTATTTTTTTTCACAATTATAAATTTTTGTGAAATAACCCAAAAACCTAAAAAAAAGATATTTACAAAAAAAAATTCTTATTTTAATGATTTGGTGTTAATTTTAGTCTAGTTACAACATGTATTGTCAAGATTATTCCTACATAACATTTTTAGTTCTCCTTGTATCATTTTCACTGAATTGCTGTTTGTCAGCATGAGAAATCTTTTTGTATTAATCAATTTCTTCATTCTACAAGTATTTGCACTGAGCAGTAAACCTAGAAAAACTACATTGCCAGATGTTGTAAGCAAAAATTACTTTAAAATATTGGATAGGAATAAATGTCAGTACATTTTGAATGGCTTTACTATCTGAAAATGTTTCTGACCATAAAATGATTTGAAAATTAATTTGGTTGTTTTTTTACATTTTATTTATTCAAAGCATGTATATTTTAATTTATCTGCAGTGGTACTGCATCTGTTCACCTTCTTCCATATTTTGTTTTGAATATTTCATGTTTTGGTACATCATCTGATTTTTTTAGTGAAAGATTGGCGTGAAGATGGAAAACTATTTTGAATGTTAAGTTGTATGGACTTGTATATACCCGGACTATTTTTTTTTTTTTTTACTGCAACTGAAAAGATCTACAGCTAGTTTTCACTTTTACCACAAGAATGACACAGCTAGCAATTAAAACAGTGAATTGAAGTAGGAGTGATAGCAGTGTTACAGAAAATGTATCTTTTTTGGTGTGTGGAATATCATGTTATTTTTAATAAAATAGACAAAAAAGAGAATTATTCACTTATAGTAGGCTGCCTATGCTGTTGATCTTATTGTTTTTCTTGTCAGTTCTGTACACTAGCGGAATCAGAACTTTTTGAGTGAAAAGGAGGGGGGGGATTTTTTTTCCAAACCATTGCCCAGCAAACTGAGTTTGCCCACCTCATTTAAAAAAAAATACTGCTTTTTAGAGTCTAGTAGATTTAGATTTGGTCTAAATTTCTTTCACATTCTCCCCGTTAATCTTAATTTGCTGTTCCGATAGGTTTCAGGGTTTTTAAAAGTTATTAAAAAGGAAAAAGTTACATTTCAGGGTTTGCTGGAAAAATAAGTGGCAACCCTGTTCTCAACCTTAGGCAATAAAAACAAGAGCCCTGACATTTTTAACTGCAGAAACACATCCTTCTGACATCTAAAGCTATTAAAAAGACAAGTCAAATTAAGTAAAATAAAGTAACGTGGGGGGAAAGGGCCTATACTGAAATGTGACTGACAATCGAGGCACAAGTAGTGTAAGTATATCTTTATTAGGTGTATTTATCGTAATATTATCCTCAAGTTAAGCGAAACAATTGTGTAGTAGCATTATTTAGGTCAGAATAAGATGCCAATAGAATGATGGTTAAATTCTCTCTTCACCCCCTTCCCCCGGGATCCACCAGTGGTTCTAGAACTTTTGTAAAACTTGTGTCTTGAAAATTTTGCTTTGACTATTTGAAGCTTTAAACTTATAATGTGACTGTTTGAGGCTTTAAATTTGTCACTTGACTGAGGTTTTAAATGTGTAATTTGACTGTTTGAGGTTCTAAACTTGTGATTTGACTACTTTAGGCTTCATTGAGGCTTAAGTCTAGGACATAATAACCTTTTAAGAAGGAATACCTGTAACCTGATGGACATGAGCTCAATTTATGAATTGGTTGGTATTTCGGTTTTATTTAAATCAACTTAAGCCTTGGGTCATTCTTGTTATTCTGTCATGATGTGAACTGAGTAGACAAAAACACACATCTTGAAACTTATACCAAGCTGGTAGTTAGCTGTACCCAACTTAAAGAAGCACCTCTTGCTTTCTACAAACAACTTTGTTTAGCAATTCTTTTGTCAAGCATAAAGAGCATCTTTTTTTTTAGGTGTTGGTCTAGTTAGTAATGCTTGTATAAAACCTAGGTTACAGGTTTAAAAAAAACCCTGTGTATCTGAAAATTGATGAGTACTGTGAACCTAATCGTAAATTTGGATTTATCTTTGCTGCAGCGAATCTGTAAACCTTAAGTTGTTTGAACATTATATGTTTCATATTCAATAGGATGCAACAACTAGATACTAACATAATTAAGATGAAAACATTGTCCTTTGATAATATTTCCTGACATTTAATTTTTATTATCATTCAGCTTTAAAAGTAAAAAAAAAAAAAAAATATTCATTTTTACATTTAGGTAGTCATAGAGCTACAAGATGTGATTTTGCATTTTTAGCCAGATAAAAACATATTTCCTATGATGGTGGTACAATATCCAATTTCTCTAAATCTGTTATATTCAACTCTAAAACCAATCAAAATAGTTTTGTTCTTCAGTAATACTTTTCAACAATATTTCAATATTCTTACTATTTTTGTAAATATTTTTCATTCTTTATTTATATACTTAAATCAATGGTCTTGTTAATCTAAGATTTTTGTTTTAAATTTCAGCTAAAAAAATATTTTGTTAGAAATAAATATGATATGCTTGCTTATGTCCCCTAAAATTATATATATATTTTTTTTGTAACTTGCCCAGAAGCAAATGTAATTTTTCTTATGTAATAATACATTTATAACAAATTATCTTGATTATAACTTGATTATTATTAATGCATATTTTTAATCCAATATGTGTTTATAGTTTCCTTAAGGCTGCTTCACTATTTGTCCAACTGTTCAGTCATTTTGAAGACATATACAATTACAATTCGTTTTTGATCTACTTGTAAGTATGTTGAATGCATCAACAACATTGTGAATGTGGGTTTATTGAACTGTTGGTGTGGGTATGTGTGTTTGAATGGAATGCCATTCTACTTCTCATCTTTCAATGTTTATGTCTGTTCATTTCTGTTGTTTTTTTCCTCTTCACTAGAAGAAATTCTAAGCACCAAGTTGTTATGACACTTTGTTATTGATAAAATGACTTCATAAAAAGAAATCAAGTTGTTTGACTGTCTTGTGTTTCTTTATTGCTTTATCTTTTAGGCTTCATCAAAGTCAGCCAATAACAAACAATGCATTTTAATCTAGATTTAGCTATCAGCATGTTACACTAAGGTTGAAATAGTTATGTTAGAATTGACCCAGAATACTTTTTCGTACTTCAATAAAATAGCCTGCATTGCAATGCTTTCTGACCCTCAAATTCTTTATTTCATTTTTTGTCTCTTTCAATCTTCCCACCCCCACTGGACCATCATCTGTTGTCCTTAAAATAAAAAAATTTCCTCTGCCTTCTTGATGCCCCCACACACTACACACAATTTATTTGTGTTTCTCCAATGAATAGCTCCTCACCCAACCACACACTTTTTGCATCTTCCAATGGAACGGCAACCCCTCCCTTACATATAAACAATCCACACACTTCTTGAGTCGTTGAATTCCAGAAGTGCATAAAGCTTATATCAACTCACTCTGTCTGGTAAAAAGTTTGTACGTTATTTTCTCCCTCATGCAATCTCGGATCAAGTTGAAATTTTGCACAATTATTTCTTGTATCTGACAAAACAATACTCAATTTAAAAAATGAACCAATTAGTTAATTAACTATTGTTTATAATTTTTTTTTTATATCGAACAAGGATAAGAAATTGTATTTGTCAGATGTGGTGGCATAAGTTGAATTAGTCCCCTTTATACTTAGTGTAGATAACTATAGAACCTTTTTCATAAGCACTTCGATGGCACAGAGGGGAGGCCTAAGCCGTTGAGCTCAAATTCAACTTTTTAAAATCGGAAATGTTTTAAAATAGTGATCATTCACAAATATACTTCCTTTCTCTGTCTTACTCAACTTGTCCAGACAAGTTATAGGATCATAGTGTATTGAGAAAGACCTATCTGTTATTGGAAAAAAATGCATCCTTGGACAGCCACGGCCTGCATAATGCACATTGTCCTACACACATTTTGTGTGGATAACTCGGCACATTCAATCTAACAATTCTATGATTTACAATTCTAGATCTAATGGAGATATGTCTTTTAGTAATTAGATCTAGATTGAAGACAAAGCTTTACATTGTGCTATGGTAGGTCTACAGAGTGTAGTAATCTAAAAGTTTTAGCTTCTTTTTCTCTGCATTTGGAGGTTCATTTTTTCTTGTCCTGGTGGGTGTTCACTTTTCGTTTCTTTTCACTCATATATGTAGGCCAGTGACAAATATTTGGTCAAAAAAGAATAGAAATGAGTAGAGAAAATTAAAAAAATTTAGTTCATTGGTGTCAGTCACTAATAGAAGAAAGTTTCCTATCTACTACTGACAAGTTTACTTTGTACACATACATGTTCTATTTGTTTGGTCTTTCAGCACCTGCTAGACTATGTAACATTGGTGTTTTTTTTTTCATTTGTATTAAAGTCAACTTTTGAATGATAAATCTTTTTCATTTCATGAATACAAAAATAATGGCAGTCTTCCATTCCAAAGATAAATGATGATTGCAGTTTCACATGACTATGCTAACCCAGCTCCAACATGCATATTTTTCCACATCTGATGCAAAGATGTCTACTGGGGGGTGTGTGTGCCTATTTAAGTTTTCTTTAGGTCTTCATAACTTTATTACAAACAAGCCCCCCCCCCCCCCCCTTTTTTTTTTTTTTTTTTTTTAAAGCAAAGCATGAACCAACAAAATCCAAGCCTCCAACCAGATCTTAACGTCTCATCCCATTCATTCTGTAGACATGTAAATATGTCTTTAAATAAAGAAATACAAACAATTCTGTGATATACATAGCATTAGAGCTCCTTTATTTTCAATTTAAATTAACAGGAAAAAAAAATGAATGAAACCATATATCACTTGGTTCATATCAATATATACAAAATGAATAAAAAATAATCATAGGATGAAGTGTACATACACACACATTTCAATGATTCACAGTATTTCTTTCATGATAAACTTTTGTTCCATTGTTCTTGTCTGTGTAATACTGATGTCATCAATAAACCCACAGACTATAATTTTCAGGTTCTGGATTCTAATCTGTTATGAAAGAGAAAAAAAATGGAGGGGGGGGGGGGATTTTTTTGACAAGAGTGTGTTATTTCTGTCAGATTCCATCACAGATTCTCCCCATAAAATCTATTGACAACCCACTTCTATAGAATTTTTTTTTTTTTTTTTTGGATTGATGAAATAAAAAAAAAATTGTACATTAGCTGTGGACTTGTACAGGGAGGCAATACAGTCGATTTAAGTATCTATATCTTAGGAAGATAACACAGAGATGGATGTGAGTGGAGATTTGACCAAATGCGACTGGAATGTTTTTTCACTCAAGATCACAAGTAAAGCAGACTCACTGCTACATATCTGTGTATTGATGACAACTAGAGAACAAAACAAAATGTAAGAAAAAAATACATTGAAATAAAACACCTGGTCAATTCTGTACTAGATCTAAATCATTTGTTAGAATAAGTTCATAAGAGTCAGAATCAGTTAACAGTGTCCTTAAAGCATCAGGAGTTCAGCTACTTACTAATACCTTCATCTTTATTATTTAATTGAATTTGATAAGTTATTCTTGCATTCTGTTCTAGAGATGTCACTCTATCACGGCTTCAATACAATTTGCAGACAAAAAAGTATAAGTGTTGGATATTTCAAGCTAAAAAAAAATCAAAGCCAAAAACACAAAACAATATTTGCAAAAACCCTGACATAGAATACAATGGCACATTGATCTCACCTTGGAGCCATAATAAAAGGCTAACAAACCAACATCACATTTTGTCATCAATCACCATTTCCTCAAATAATAAAACATTTGCATTCTCCAGATCCAGCTATTTGAAAAGAAAGTTTTTATTTTCATGTAATCAAGTTAGTCTATTCAAATACTGCCTGTCTCTCTGCTGAAGACAGCTACATGAAAAAGACCCATTACAGATCTGTGTGATGACCAACAGACTAATATGTTTGTTAAATTAATCTGGAAGCATACAATGATGTACGACAGTTATCTTCTTGTACATCATGCCACATTCATAAAACCAAATCCAAATACGATTCAGCGAAGTCAGGTCAATGCAAACTACAAACTATTGGTATGTCATCCACTTAGAACAAAAAATAAATTATTTGTACTTAACTAAAAGTGTCATAAAGATATTCAACAATTGATTTACTAGTTCTCACAAATACTCAGACCAATTGAATTAAAACAATAACCAAAGTTACAATTTGTTATAAATATTGTTTACATTGTTAAAATTCATTTAAAAACCTTAAAACCATCACCTAAAAACTTGAACTAAGAAAAAAAACAACATTTGAAGATTGGAAACATTAAGGATAGGAGACAAGTCAAGTACAAGCTAACACTGGATGGTTGAACAAGTACAAGCTAACTCTGGATGGTTATGCAGGACAAGCTAGCTCTGGATAGTTGAACAAGACAAGCTAACACTGGATGGTTATACAAGACAACCTAACTCTGGATGGTTATACAAGACAAGCTAACACTGGATGGTTATACAAGACAAACTAACACTGGATGGTTATACAAGACAAGCTAACACTGGATGGTTATACAAGACAAACTAACTCTGGATGGTTATACAAGACAAGCTAACACTGGATGGTTATACAAGACAAACTAACACTGGATGGTTACACAAGACAAGCTAACACTGGATGGTTATACAAGACAAACTAACTCTGGATGGTTATACAAGACAAGCTAACACTGGATGGTTATACAAGACAAACTAACACTGGATGGTTATACAAGATAAACTAACACTGGATGGTTATACAAGAGAAGCTGGTTGATTGTATAAAGCCCTTGCTAGCTTATATATATATATATATATATATATTTACAAATTTTGGAACCAGAAGAACGACTTGCAAATGGACCAGAAAAATATAACAAACAACAATTGACTTAATAAATAGATATCTCTCTGGATAGAGAATGGACTTAATCTTGGCTAGAGTGGCTGTATGTATATCTATTGCACTTGAACAAGACTGCCTTGTTTTATCAAGAAAGAAAATGGATGATTAGGTGTGACTTCTGCTTGAAGAAAGAATGGAATAGTTTTATTGCTTTAATACTATCACACAAGAAATTCTTAACATTCTGCTCACTGACTTAAATTGAAGCATAGATAACATAAAGAAACAAAAACACAAAATAAAACACTCCCCCCCCCCTCCCCCAGCAACTAATGTAGATATAAGACTTGATAAAGAAAAGAAAACTAAAAGATTTACAATAACTTTTCTTGAATTCAATAATTATAAACTATTTAAGTTCTTTCAAGCAAAAGTATTTCCATTAATGCTTTGTAAATCTTAAATTGAAACAGATTGATCTAAATGATGTTTCAATGCAAACTGATCTGAACAGGCTTACAAGGAAACCAACACAAGATACACAAGCAGACATTTTAGAATGTACTGAACATTTAAGACGAAACATGTTCAAAGAAATCTTTAGAAAGTTTTCAGTCCAGACCAGTTGGTGTTGTCATAAATAATGGATGATGGTTGAAATAAAAAAAAGTATCATAATTTATTTAGCGGTTTCAAACTCTTTACATGAAGGGAACATTGGGCTGGAAGTTTCAGTTCATTAAAGCTTCACTCTCCAGCAGGTCAGTCACTTCTAACAAAGGGATGAATTCATTTAATCTCCATGTCTCCAAGCTGTGGGGAACCAATTGCTGCTGTGGAAATATGAGCTTATGTCAGAAGAAACTGATGATAAAATGTAAAACTTTATCCTCACCAGCAATCAGTCTTCCCCTCATGTACTGTCAATTATAGTGTCAACCTGTATTAATGACATCTATGTGAATTCAAACTATTGAATGGCATGCAATACATAGAACCAAACTATGACCTCCCTCTTTCTGTTCACACCCAACAAAACTAGAGTTGGGGAATAGATATGACAAATTAAAATTTTTAATGGCTCCATAAAACAATGTCATTGATTTGAAAGACATGGATCACTCAAGGATTCAATTAAGCTAATGATATGAAATATTAATCAACTATTGTACACAGCAATCATAGTAGGGATTCAAATATCTCCACCTCATTTAATAAATAAAGCAAAATACATAAATAATTTTTAAATATAACACTCTATCAACACAAACAGTATATACATGTCTTTAAAAGACCTCAGCTGTATCAGTAGCCTGAAGGTCCAATTGTTGTATCTATTGTCACAATTAAGAAACAAGGTAACATACTGAAAGCAATACATTTCTCAATAGGATAGTTTTGTTCAGTGTATTATTACCCAGAGCTATGAGCAATGACTGAAAACATTTTAGCTAAGAGGTTCAAGGAAGTCCACCTCCAACAAGTGTTCCAGATAGGCTCTAGTGGACAAGGCAGACACATCATCTTTACTTGAAGTGACTTTTATCAAGTGCTGTCTGTCTGCTGAAGTCGTTGAGGGTTTACTGTGCTTGGAGCCCATGCTGCTGTGGTGAGTGCCCTCTGTGGAATGGCAGACAGTGTAGAAGAAAGACTGAAGGTCAGCCAGGGACTGCAGTTTGGGCATGGTCAGCAATGGACGACCTGGTTCTGTTTTCATTAATGTTGGCTTCTTCTTCATCTAAGGTAAAAAAAAAATTGAAATTAAATAAATAATATTTTTATGTCCCAGTCTTTCCAGATTTGAAAGCTGGTGGAGTCATCATAAGATGCTGGATTTGTCAACATGAAAAATATTGCTAAGAAGTCTCTAGAGTAGAACCCACAGGGGAAAAGAAAATCTGGAAGATGAAAGCAAACAAAGAGAAAGATCAATAGAATAAGAGGCAAAGACAGACAATGAACATTGACCAAAGGGATTTGCTGAATTTGATGGCAAAGTACCGTTACTGTTGTGTTGACTCCACTGGGAGTCAAAAGGACTAAGTCAAGTCAAGAGTCATCATAGAGATCTTTTTCAAAAGAAAATTAGTTTAGCTTCTATCTCACTGGGATATCCGACTTAAATCACTACTACTCCTGCATGAGATACATAAATCACTTGACTGTCTAACTGTGGGGATGAAGTTCAAATCTCAATGGAGACGAAATTATTATTCAAGATTTAACTTGAGCTGAGTTGTGTCTGCAGAGCATCTTTGGTACAATAAATGAAAACAATTTCCCAAATACTTCCTACATCACAGGTGAACAAGAGATTGTACAAGAAAGCCCACAGCATGCTAAATAATATGAGCACATGCTGTTCAAATAAAAAAAGACTTTATTTCTTTTCTTTGAATTATTCTTGCTATAACATTTAGAAAACGTGCTCTTCAGTTTTGTTTGCCAGCTTAAAAAACAAATAGCCATTAGAAATGTTTTACTCTGACCTGAACTCTTTGACCTTGACCTTAAGCACCCCTTCATTTAAAAAGAAAATAAATAAATAAATTTTGAAAATTGCATAATTAAAAAGTTACCCACTTGGGAAAAAGTAACAACAAAATCAATGTTCAGGTCAACATTAGAAAATAAAACGTATTCTTAGGGCAGATCCAGTACTAGAACACAACCTTAGACAAATCTAAGTTGTGATTGTTGTGAACTCCTAGCCTATGACTTTAACATGGATACATTACGTATGCAATACTTCAAGAACACCAGGGATGCATTAGAAATAAGAAATATTTAATAAAGCAATAGGAATAAATTATAACTGTAGATAACGCCAACCACAAGCTGAATTCCTAAAATATACATTAACTATCAGAACTGCCTTATAATGGCTCCTACTATGCTATCACAAAAACTCCGGTCCCCTGTCAACAATAACAAAACTTCAAGTGCTGTCACTCTGTCCCCACCAATGGACCAATGAAAAAAATAGTAAAATAATAAATAAACATAGAATGCTTTAAGTCTTACAACCAAGGTTCTATGACGTACCGTTTACAATATTATATACAAAACATAATCACCACAGTGACTCACAACCATGCAATGACACATTTCCTCAATAAGAATGAATCTAACTCACCCTATTATTTAAAAGCCTAGACAAACGAATGATGTGGGGTGTGAAAAGTGGGTTGGGCCGCCAGCCATCACAGTCTTCATCCATTGGATACTCATCTTCTCCAGCGGTCCCTACAAAGGCCCAACGATACCTGATGATAAAAGTTACATAATGAAAATATTTTCTTTCATACAATATATAGATATATTATGATATATATAAGGTATATAAAATTTTGGGTCACACATACATAATACAAGTTAGCTTGATTAATATTAGTGCTAAGAAGGATTATTTTAACATTCTTTACATTTTTGTGTATATGGAAAAAGATTTTACAAATGCAATATGTAATACAAGCTACATTTCCTGTCCCTTCCTTGCATACTCCACAAAGTTGTACAATAGATATGCAAGGACTACATTTACAAAGACTACATTATTTGATGGTCAATGTGATTCAACTACTTTAAACCTACATAATACCACTGCTTAAATTATTGACACTACTGATTTTTACTATCATTAAAAAAATTCTAAAGAATCCCATTGGTGTAGTGAACATATTTGATTTAGTACCCACACTGTCATCCTAAGAAGTGAACTAGCTACTTACAGCTGAAACTGAGGCACCTGGTCTGCAGGCATAACTATGCACATATCAAGCAGTTTACAGACACTCAAGTACAGCTGCAGCCAGGCTGGATTGTTGTGGGCATTCAAGCCATTACCAAGATGTGCCCAGCTAGAGTCCAGAGCAGCAATTCTCTGGATCTGAGTCCTGGTAGAAGTAAACAAAGATACAACTTTACAAAAAACATTTTCAAAAAAGTATATTTCGACATTTTAACTGTGGAAACATTTGTTTTCCGTGTAACATTAAATACATGAAAAAATAAAAAGCTAAAGAAATACTTTTTAAGTAAAATTTAAATATATTTTTACTTTTACATTTAATTTAGAATTTAATCTAAATTATATTTTGCTTCACATAAATTAATAGATTTAAAAGATGTGTATATTATAAAAATGTCAACAAGTGTATATAATATGGGATCTGAGATTATTGCCAGCAGGTTGACTGAACTAGGCTACAAAGTTGCGGTCAAGTATCTGCAAGTTAGTGTCAAGCTGTGAGTAAGGTCAAACAGAACTACAGAACAAACATTACCAAAAAAATATATATGATGCTGTAATAATGCAACTGAAAAGGCAGAAACAGATGAGCCAAGACATGCACAGTGGTCACATGTCAACATACCATGCAATAAATATACAATGACCAATTCATTGCTTAGAAATAAAAAAACAACAACAACTTATTTTCATCTCTCATTGTCTATAGAAGACAAAAAAAAAAAGGAAAAAAAAAAAAAAGGTATTTAAATATTTTTTTAAAAAGTCAAAAGTTGAGAATGAAAATCTCTATTAAGTAAACTAAAAATAGTTTTCAAACAAAAAAAATAAACAACCAAATCATAGCACAGCAAGGATACGGTAATTCATACATTAACCAAAAAAAAGTAAATTGTATATGATATTCATTTTCATATTTAAAATTAATAAGTACTTTAGAAAAAAAACAACAACAACATCTGAACAAGAAGTAAGAACCTAAAAATGTTTCCTTCAAGAAACTGAAAAGCTGACATTGTACACATGGGTAATTAATGATAGATGACAAGACTGCTGTAATAGAAAAACTGTCAATGCAGCCAGTACTGTATTACAACAACTCAACTACAGAGATGTTTAATTAGATCTACATGGACAGAGAACTCCTAGTCCTCTCTCTCTCTATATATATATATGGAAAGCCTTTCACTTGTTGCAGATGTCTTCTCTCCACTATCTATTATTATAAAGACATCTATAGAACAAAATCACATGCAAGACATTGTTAGAAAACAGACAATAAAGATGCCATTAAAACATTATAATTTATTCCAAAGTACATCAAACAGGACTTTCATTCTAAAGATATCAAACAAGACATTCATTTTAAAGATATCAAACAGGAAATTCATTCTAAAGACATCAAACAGGAGGACATTCATTCTAAAGACATCAAATAGAAGGACATTCATTCTAAAGATATCAAACAGGATATTTATTCTGAAGATGTCAAACAGGACATTCATTCTAAAGATATCAAGTAGGACATTTATTCTAAAGACATCAAACAGGATTTTCATATGAAGATATCAAAC